GCACACATGGACCCAGGAGATTAAATGGTGACTAGCAGATACAGGACCCATATGAATGAATACATTGGCAGAACTAATGGAGGGGGAAAAAATGTTGTTCACACCCCCCCCATCTATAGCAAGAGTGGCTAAAAGGTAGATCCCCCACCTGGCATACAACTCGCACAATGCTATGCCAGCTGATGATCTACCATTTCCCCATCCTTGCTGGGTTGTATTTGTGAGCAGTGTTTGGGAGTTTGAATGTAAGCATGTTTTTGCGTAAAGTTTGTGTGCGCATGTAGAGGTGTATTTGTATGAATTGTTGCCACTTGAATGTCGTAGTGTACTTGTGTGTAGTGTTTGCGTTTTAAACTTCAATTATTGCACAGTCTGTTTAATTTAGAATGTATCTGCTGCACTGGTAATAGCTTGCTAGACCCTATAGGTACCTCCTGTGTGTGATTAAAGTTCAATTTACAGAGCAGGAGATAAAAACTTCTAAAGCAAGTTGACATCTGATTGAAAATGAAACAATTTTTTTTTTCTCCATGTAGGCTGTGAGTGACAGCCAGGGGAGGTGTGGCTAGGGATGCATGGACAGAAACAAAAGTGATTTAACTCCTAAATGGCAGAGAATTGAGCAGTGAGACTTCGGGTGATTCATCTATACACCAAAACCACTTCAGTAAGCTAAAATGATTTTAGTGCCTATAGTGTCCCTTTAACACATATATGGACAATATATAAATGTACTTTTTATATTCTGAAACGTTCTCCTTTTGTATTGAAGCTGCAAATAATGATACCAATTAATGAGATAGGAGCATGTCTTACTGGTTTCTGATTGATGTGCCTACTCCACTCTGGAGCTTTTACTATTGGCAATGGGTAGGTCTCTCCAAGCGTAATTCCAGCGTGTGCAAGTGCGGAGTTACTTAATGCCCAGGGAGCGTGAACGTCTCCCCCCTGGATGTTCTGCAGTTCTGGAACCCAGAGTCGGATATAATCACCCTATAAATGAAACAAGTGAATATATACAGATTATTAACCATTCGTTCTAAACATTACCGACCATTCTCAAAAACAAAATGATTGTACTGAATATTAAAATGTAAATAATTATCACCATTCAAAGCTGTAGCTTCACAATTTCCTGAACTGGAGCGTGGGTTTATTACAGAGGGAAGTTATAAAAGGAGAAACCAGGATTGTCACAGTTGAGTAAGAAAATGACAGCGCAGAGCGACACAAGATCAGTGTTATAACTGTCTTTCTGGATCAAGCAGGTTTTAAGAAGACCTGGATCGATAATACTCTGTGTACCGATCATACCAGGATATGACTGGTATAGTCTGAAGATTTAAAAAAAAAAAAAAAAAAATGGTATTTGGATTTTAATATATTAACCCCTTAAGGACCAAACTTCTGGAATAAAAGGGAGTCATGACATGTCACACAGGTCATGTGTCCTTAAGGGGTTAAAGGGAACCGCATAGGGCATACGTTTAGACACATTTAACCAGCAAAAACTACACAAAATACAAAGGGGGCATTTTAATGCATATTTAGTTCAGTTAACATTACTGCAAATTCTTTACATACTGGGGTGTCAGAGAAACATTAAATGTTGTTTTCAGCCAATGTTTGTGAGGCTCAATGTGCCCAAGTGTCAGTCTGCAGGTAATGGGTTTTAGGCAAAGGGCAGGCGGCATAGACCCTCCTCCACTTCCCCGCAGGACGTGCAATATTACATATGCAGGAAATTATGTCCTAACGTTGTACCCTTTTACAATTAGAGCAATATTCACATGCAAAAAAAACCAAAAACGCAGTCTGTGACACTTAGTCGGTTATTCACCAAATAGGGCTTTGACAGCAGTGTTTAAATATTTAGGTAAAACTTTCCGAATGGATAGCTTGGATGTCTGGGATCATTTGATTTAAAATGTGCAGTTCTCTTAGTCATATCTCAGAAATTACTTTTATTTATACAGCATCAAAATATCCCGCAGCAATGTACAACAGTTAAACAATTCATTCTAACATAACATGTTTGACATGAAGCAGTGGGTGAAGATGGCCTTGTCCAAACAAGCTTACAATCTAAAAGCTGATACTCCTCTCCGCATAGTCTCTGTTTAGTGAATGTACCCTTAGGTCACATACTCACATTGACGTCATAATCCAGTCCTTGTTTAATCATATTGAACTTCCTATTCTCCCGGGGATCATTGCCGATTCCAGCACTGTATAACCAATTTCCATAATTACTGCAAACGTCATAATCGACCTGTGAACAAAGAACAAATCTGGCTTCATGTATTGTCCTGGCTGCTAGGGAACAAGGACGATATACAGTATCAAGACAGGATTGGTGCGAAGCAAACAGAGCGTGGAATGGTCACTTTGAGGAGTAAATTACAAAACGTGATGTATTAGGTGTGCAACCAAAAAACAAAGATAACCTTAAAGGGACACTATAGTCACCTGAACAACTTTAGCTTAACGAAGCAGTTTTGGTGTATAGAACATGCCCCTGCAGCCTCACTGCTCAATCCTCTGCCATTTAGGAGTTAAATCCCTTTGTTTATGAACCCTAGTCACACCTCCCTGCATGTGACTTGCACGGCCTTCCATAAACACTTCCTGTAAAGAGAGCCCTATTTAGGCTTTCTTTATTGCAAGTTCTGTTTAATTAAGATTTTCTTATCTCCTGCTATGTTAATAGCTTGCTAGACCCTGCAAGAGCCTCCTGTATGTGATTAAAGTTCAATTTAGAGATTGAGATACTATTATTTAAGGTAAATTACATCTGTTTGAAAGTGAAACCAGTTTTTTTTTCATGCAGGCTCTGTCAATCATAGCCAGGGGAGGTGTGGCTAGGGCTGCATAAGCAGAAACAAAGGGATTTAACTCCTAAATGACAGTGAATTGAGCAGTGAAATTGCAGGGGAATGATCTATACACTAAAACTGCTTTATTTAGCTAAAGTAATTTAGGTGACTATAGTGTTCCTTTAAGTATGTCCTGGGGTGACTTTTTGTGTCATATAAGGAGTGTCGCACCAGAGAGAACAATGCCAGAATACACAATTATATACTTCAATGTCAGAGGTCGTTGTGAAGCAGCACGAATACTTCTAGCTGACCAAGGTTTGGAATGGAAGGAAGAAATTGTAACGTTTGACACCTGGCTGCAAGGAGATCTGAAAGCTAAAGCGGTGTTTGGGCAACTTCCAGGATTTAAAGATGGTGATCTCACCTTGTATCAGTCTAATGCTATTCTGCGCCATCTTGCAAGGAAGCATGGTTTATATGGGAAGGAGCCTAATGATCAATCCTGTATAGATATGATGAATGATGGGGTAGAAGATCTCAGGATAAAATATTTGCAGCTAATTTATAAGAATTATGAAGAAGGAAAGGATGACTACATTAAGAATTTATCTGCTGATTTAAAGCACTTTGAAAGTTTCTTGAGTCAGAATAATAATGGAAAAGGCTTTCTTGTAGGCAACGAGATTTCATTTGCAGATTATAACCTTCTGGATCTTCTCCGCAATCATCTTGTATTGGCTCCTGGGTGTCTTGCAGAATTTCCACTTCTCTGTGCATATGTTGAATGTATCGCGCGCGTCAGGGGAAAGGGCTCTATCGATATATCTTTATTTACAACAGAATTGGCGTCTGTTTAGACGGCTACTATACTTTATATCTTACACATCGATATTTAGTCCTACTCCAGCTATATAGTGGGGGGCCTACTGAGCACACGTCTTTGATCTATTCAGGCAGTGATCCCTATTCCCACTGCAGGAGTTATTTATATAGTGAAGAATAATTTTTCTTTTTCTTATATCACTATACTCTTTCTAGTGCGTCTTTTGGATCCAACTAGCACTATGAATGGGGTTCTATGTGGTTAAGTCATTATGCAGACATCATGATTTCCGTGTAAAAGCTACTAATGTATCTAGGTCTATTTATTACTTAAGACCTTTAGAACCCTTTTTTGTTACACCACTCTATGTAGCAATTCCTACTTTATGGACTTTTTCTTTCCTTTTATTTCAACTTAATTGATGCACACACTTGAATGCACAAAAAACCTGTTTGGTTTTTTGCATATCATTTGGAGATTTGTCCTGAAAACTTTAGAACAGGATCTCCTTTATCAATTTATCGTTATTTATTCATAGGAAATTAATTGTTCTTTTAGTATTTTATCTTTATGATCCATTTATTATTAGTTTAAGCATATATTTGATAACACTGTATTTTTGTTGATCATTTTGGATACATCGTATCAATCTGGTTTTAAACTTTATTTAGTATTAAAAGTTACAGTTTAACTTGAGGGCACTCACTTTTTCTTTCTCCTTGCCTTTACTACTGCTGTAGTCCATTAAGGGTTAATCCCTACAAGAGTGCATCCTTTCTGCTTCCTATTTTCTATAGTTTATGTTACATATAGTTCTCTCTCACTCTAACAGTTATTACAGTGTGAAAAAAGGCCCACTAGAGCCAATCACACCTGCTCCAACGACACCTCCCCCCTCCCTGGGGTTAAAGGGAACTGACATCAAGGGCGACCTAGTAACTTGTACCAAGCTCACCGCCATGTCTAACACCCCTAGCCTAACGCCCCACGGGCACAGCTTGATCCTGTCACAGCACAGCGACTTATATACACCTAGACTCAAAATCCATAGTTGCTACATTGACCAGCAACCACGCGCAGCCACCACTAGGATAAATATACACCTTATGACGCCTAGAGCACAACACACACTGGTGCAAATCAATACCTACAGTCAGGAACAAACAAGGGAGTGGACCTAGTCCTAGAAGGGGAACACACAGAGGGATCCCACAATCACCACAAACCACTCCCTGTCCACATGCAGAAGGGCCAAGAGACACACCAAACACCCATAACTTTGAGACACATGACCGTGAATTAGACATAGCCATCAGACTTAGCCGAAACTGCCCTCTCCCCTTCACCCATGACCTCACGGAGCAAAGGGTGTCTTAGGCAGACGGAAGTCTTACACCCCCACAGTTATACGATTTAAATACCTCACTATAACAATGCGACCTATTTTAACTACAAAATGTGTGCGAACAGAACCCAGCAATGCCTTGTACTTAACATGCACCGATTCTGATTGACGTGTAGAGGCTGTTGTGGCCATCTTTCCACACATGTTTGTTATCTTTCCACGCGGAAAAAAAATAATTTAAAAAAAATTAAAGATTTAAAAAAAGAAATACTAGAGCAGATCGGATATTAACCAACCAGTTAAAAAAAAAAAAAAAAAAAAGAGTCAAATAATATAATTGGGAAAATAGTGCAAGGTGACGAAGTGTACATCTCTCCGGGGGGAATAGTTGAGGCCTTTAATGAGTTTTATAAAAATGTATATGATTTGCCAGAGACTAATAGAGGAAGGGAAACTGTCGAATTTGTCTCAAAGCTAAATCTGCCAAAGATTTCTAGAGAACAATTTGCCATAATTAATAAAGAAATTACTAGAGATGTAGAAAAGGCTATAGACAATCTAGTTCCTTTTAAAACTCCGGGCCGGATGGATTCAGTAATAGTTTTTATAAAGCAATGAAAAATATAATATCAGAGAACCTAACTAAAACATTTAATAATGCAGTTAAGGAGGGAAAGTTCCCCCAAGAAATGCTAGGGCCAATATATTACCTATACTAAAGACAGACAAAGAGCCATCGGACGGGAAAAGTTACCGTCACATTTCGCTTATTAACATCGATGTCAAACTTTATGCCTCTATTATTGCAGCAAGAATCGAAATGGTCTTAGTAAACCTTATACATCCTGATCAAATTGGTTTCGTACCAGATAGAATGGCTAGTAACAACATAAGAAGGTTGATTGATTCTATTGACATGGCTGACCAGGGAAAGGAGCTCCTCCTGATCCTGTCGCTAGATGCAGAAAAGGCCTTCGACAGGGTCAGTTGGGGCTTCATGGAAAAAGTTATTTTTATTATTATTATATCTAATTATTCAGTTGGACCTGATGCATACAAAGTATGGACAAAGTTGTGGTCGACTAAAAAGGGACCAGCAAAATATAAACAAAAAGTGTAAACTTTTTTTAAACGCAGCTTCTTTTTTGCAACTTGGCTATTTTAGTTTAGTTTTTGCAGTCTGGTTTTAAGTTCACCAAAATTTCACTTTTCGGCTTAATAAACTCTGTTGAGGTATAAATTCTGATAAATGTAAGTTTCTCTTCCTTGTGATACAGAGAAGTGATTCAGCAAAGGTTGAAAAGAAGAGGGAACAAAACAGAGTATAAAGTACATCACGCCTGCTGCCTGTATTAGGCATTTATAACAAAAGTGAGCCAAATTCTTTACAAATCATGCCTTAGAGTCTATCCATCCCATAATCCCACGCCAAGGGTTGCTTCCAAACAATGTCAAGTGTTATATTCTTGTCTGTTACTCCCTCCATGCAGAATGAGGTATGTGCAGTTTGACAGAGGGATTTGTGAGCCCTATATTATATATAAATAAATAATTTTATCACATGACCGTATGAGACCACCTCTTACCAGGAGATACTCAAACCACTCTGCTCCCATTCTCCAATCAATTCCAAGGTCTTTTGTCAGGAAACTAGCCACGTTCTGTCGCCCCCTGTTGGACATAAATCCAGTCACTGCCAGTTCACGCATATTAGCATCAACAAAAGGTACCCCCGTACGTCCTTCTACAGAAAGAAAGCAGCAGATTGTCATAAAATACCAAAACGCACACTTAAAATCAACCTACGATGTCTAGAATATAATCCCAACACTTAGAAAAGGGCAGGAATTCATATTTTAAAACAAGACTGTAAATAAATGTTTCAATCCGTGGGAATGGTTTTTGGAAATAAGTACAAGAATAAAGTCAGGTTGGCCCCTTTTTTTTTTTCTTCAAAATTTTGAATTTTATTTTTTATTTTTTTCATTTTAGAGGGATGTTTCCATGGGTAGAATAGGAGGAATGACCGACAACTTTAACAAATAATGTAAACAATTTTATTTCATTTTTATTTATTTTTTATTCTAGTAAAAGGTCATGGTAGACTGATTTTCAATGATCACAAATCGTTTGAGGTGAATACACAGCAGGGGAACTTAAAGGGACACTGCAGGTACCAATACTATATTCACTGCATTTGACAGATTTTGGCCTCGTTATCATGCTGTATTTTTTTGCATGCTCAAATCTTTAGTATTTTTGCACAAAATAAATAAAGGTTTTGCAGAATGCAGCATGATGAGCCTTCTTTTTTAGCCACACCTCCTCACTCCAGAAAAAGACTTTCCTATCAATGTATGTATTCAGTCACTACCAGTTAGAAAGAGAGGACACCCAGGGAGAAATATAGGAAGGATATTTGTTTGTAGTTTCTGTGACTGTCTGCAGCCTAGTTGTGAATTAAAAACCAGTCACTCAGTACTGTTGGGGCTGAGACTGTGTACATACGTTCGATAAGGAAGTCTTTCTGGCACAAGGGGGTGTGGCTGAGGAGGCAGGCTTATGGTGCAGCATTCTGCAAAACATTTATTTGTTTTATGAAAAAAAATACAGCATATTAATAAAGTCAAAATCTATCAAATACATTCAAGTTGTGTTGGTGCCCAGAGTCTCCCTTTAAATCTTATGGAAGAGAAGTACTGATCACAGGGAATATAGTTTCAGTTATGCATATAGGCACCATCACGTTGAGATCTGCACCACTTCGGAGGACTCAAAATGTGGGTCATTTTACTTTCAGGATCACGTAGTGGGATTCTCCTACCTTCCCATCCTATAATGGGTCATTTTAAAAACAAAGAGATTTCACACAACACCAACCTTTCCAGGCGTCAAAAAGCTTGGGGTCTTTCTTCCATGGAACTGGCTTATCCTGTAGCCCTAAACAGGTGTTTAAAAGAACATGTGGTGTTATAATTCTAATTTATCAACTGAGAGTTACCAACACTGAAAGATGGAAAAACCAAGCATAACAGCGTGTGATGCATTTGATGTGTCTGTGTGGTAGCAGGTATATACAAGGGCTTTAGGGTACACCAAAACAACAAGTGACGTCTTCAAGATTCAAAGAGTCTGGCAAAAAAAAAAAAAAACTAAACAAAAAAAAAATCAACACAAACCCTACACATGTTGTGTATTTTCTGTCATCTAGATGGAAGAGAGAGATGTGTAAATTCTGTGACAGATCATTCCATTCCAATGAGATTACCAATCCTCAATATAAAGTATGTAAAAGCACAGACAAATGATGTTAAATGTGTCTGCAGTGTGTGGACAACTGAAAAAAAAAGTTCATGATTTTCATATCAGAAAACCCACAGTCCTATAAATAAATGCTATGACTGTAAATATAAAATACATCATCTCTGTACACACTGATAATAGCTAGTGCTGGAGTTTTGCTACGTGTATAAGGAATTATGCTTAGCTCGGTGACATTGCAATGTATCACATTTTTGATTTTTTTTTACATGGTTTCCTGATTGTTTGCAGGATTTTTATTCTATTGATCACGGAAAGTCAAAAGAACCGAAATATGTAAATGGCGCCTTCCTGTGATTCTGTGAACCACGTTTTAACCTAAATTAAACGGCTTGTTCCAGCTTTTCCACATTCTTTCTGTGTATGGTTTCTGAGTGCCAGTCAGTTTCGATCTCATGGCAATATAAAAGGTTTCTATTACTGAACACCTGAGATTACAGCAATTGAACCTACAGGAAGAAATTGGCTCACGGTGTCTTACAAGGTCCAACTAACCTTTTGGAAAGAATAATTTGCTTCCATACTTCAGAGCCACAAAACGAAAGTAATCCCTCCACAGAAGCTCAAAAATGACCCTACGACAGAAGGAAAATATTAAGGCCTTGCAGGAGATACAAGTTATCTTTCAATTCACACAGTTCTATATACGGCTTTCTGATCATAGCGCTGTTCTATAAACATGTGATTAGGACAGAACTATGGTGCAGACATTTTTTTTTTTTAAACTTGTATTTCATTGGTTTTTCTCACAACACCACACAACACATAGGTTTGTAGTACAGGAACATTTTGTGCATATCATAGAACTTCAATGGACTCGCTACCACTAGAGATCAGAGATTTTGTACATTGGTTGGATAACGATTTCAATTCGTCGGCATATCCGAGAAGGGGTAGAAAGCGTTACTTGTGTTTTTCTTGCACAATAAGCTCTGGGACTTCAATGCCAAAGAAATAAGTACACCTCAAATTGGAAAACCTGCTATTACACTTTATCTGCCCTTAGGCTAAAATAGGCAAACAAGTAAATGGGTCCTTTTCTATTACTCAGTCATAATAATTAATAAAAATTACAAGTGAAAAGATGACACTAAAATAAAATAACAGGTAATTATATTAACCAGCAGCACCTTAAAAAGTGCAAGAACCCCAAAATCCCTTAACCCCTTAAGGACCAAATTTCTGGAATAAAAGGGAATCATGACATGTCACACATGTCATGTGTCCTTATGGGGTTAATGGACCACTATAGTGCCAGGAAAACATACTCGTTTTCCTGGCTCTATAGGGCACTTGGGTTCCCCTCACCCTCGGGGCTGGGGACTCTCTGACTCCTTTCCCCGTCATCAGCTGAACGCTCGCGCATTCAGTCAGTCCATAGGAAAGCATTCTCAATGCTTTCCTATGGACGCTGGCGTCTTCGCACTGTGAAAATCACAGTGAGAAATGCGGTAGCGCCTCTAGCGGCTGTCGGTGAGACAGCCACTAGAGGCTGGATTAACCCTAAAGTAAACATAGCAGTTTCTCTGAAATTACTATGTTTACAATTGCAGGGTTGATCCTAGATGGACCTGGCACCCAGACCACTTCATTAAGCTGGAGTGGTCTGGGTGCCTATAGTGGTCCTTTCAGTAATATACATCCCAATCCTTTTTTGGGGATTTGTAATAATTGTGATTGCTTTTTTGCACAATCTGCTCCTGGTTTATTAAAATAATTTATTCCCCTATTCCATACCAGTATGTGCTTTGATTTGCAGTTCTCTCTCGTTCGTACTTCTTAATCTGCTCATAAATATATCTCGGGGAGATGCAGCCCAGAGCCAACCTAAAGAGAAGCGAGAAGTATAGGGTTTGTCATTCGGCTGCCACATCGGCTGTGACAGATCTAAATACATAGGTCACATGATCAGGAAAGACACAAATTTAACAAGTAAAAAGTAAATTATAGTGGCTTTGTCACTTTTTAAAATAAAAAAAGAAAATACTTTTTTGCCAAGTTATAGATAAGGAAAAGTAGGGACTACTGGTTGACAAAAGGTGGTGAGTCATGCTCTACGGTCTATGTCAACTTTGTCATTGACCCTCACATCATGAAGTGGCACGATACAGAGCCTCAGCATTAACTGGGCATGCGCATAATTTGAAGCCCATGCCCAAAGCAAATTATACCATTTCTACAGGCCATCTTTGTAACTTGACGATGGCAGAGCCTACAAAGAAGACACAGAGGGATTGAACAACTATCTAAAATGATATGTTATGCAAGCCCCAGAGTCCAAATCTGTTCGGGGGTGAAACGGGTGGTATGGAGCAATGGATCCCTTGGCTCTCAGTCGAAGGGATCCATATTGTTACAGAACCGCTTTAGGCTACAACATAAAGTCATCACATTGCTCATTTCTAAAATGGGTCTGCACATGGAGAATTGAGTACTCACCCGGCATAGCCTGAAAGTCTGTGCCTGGGAAAGAGGGGATGGCTTGTAAGGGCTGCAGACAATAGGTCTGCAGCTTTTGCAAGCTGTATTTTCCCCCCCATATACCCTCAAAGAAAACATGCAGGAAAAAAATACATGCATGCCTTCTTTGGTCGTATATCTACCAAATAAAATAAGGGGGAAAAAAGAAAATCAGCAACACTTTCATTAGAGTGTTCCTTTACTATAAAAAGGATAGATATTGCTTTCGTATAGTTTATGTAAGGAGAAGGAAGACCTGGGTACAGAATGATCCATGCTGTGATCCACAATATCTCCTTTTCTTGTACTGATAGAAAACCATCTATGGTAATACAGAGTAAAACAGTGACATGGGAGAGTGCAACGGCTAATAATGGCATTCTTTATTTTTCTCACCATGGGGCAAATTTGGTAGAATAATCCATTCCTATAAGTCCGTTCCGTGTATCTTTATATGAAGCGACAAGATTCTGTAACAAATTAAATGATACATTTATACTTTTAATCCACAGCTCCCTCTAGGGATAGAGAATGGTACAACAAAAATGTTAATAAAATAGCAAAGTTTAAAAATATATTAAAAAGTAATATTTTTGGTAAAAGTAAAACATGTTTTAAATACTCATGTTTAAACTATGGCATTTTCCTTTTGCAATGGTAAATGTGTTCAATAATTAGCCTTTTGTACAAAGATAATTGTCTGATTGTTCTGGAAAAGGGAAGAGAAAAATCAGATTGTCATAGAAATGTATTCTGGAATCATTTTCTGAACTGGATCCCAGGAAATCTACAATAGCCAGAGCAGTGCTTCCAACATAATATGCTGATATGTATGAACCATTTCATGTCTTAACAGAATTCATATTAAATTAAAGGTTTCTAAATGGAAATATCTCTACTGACCGTATCCCAGAAATAATGCTGCAGCCTCTGTAATGCTTGAGTCTCCCCTCCGCTGCATGGAAAGGCTGATCGTGGATCTGTCACAGGATCTATTAATCAGAGAAACACAAATAAGTAATCAATAGCAGCTAATCATAGGCCATGGCAAGCACATAAGTCATTAACAGCAGCTAATCATAGGCTGTTACAAGAATCACAATCACTAATATCCAAAGCTGAAATTGCATCCCGCTGTAAACCAACACAGATGCCACATACAAACCTTCAAACAGAATAGGTGCTTCATATTTCAGGTAGCTACCACGACACAAACATTTGCATCTCAATTTTGCCATATAGAGCACAGATTCCTAAACTTGCATCAATTTCTTCCAGGAATCCCTAGATTCCTTAGAATGCTTTAAAAGCTTGGACAATGTGAGAATTCAAATTACATTTCATATGCACGCATTTTAGGACAACAAATAAATGAAAAATACACAAACTACTACCTTGATTTAATATTGTTGAATAAACTTCAAATGGTTTAATATTCAAGGATAAACTTTAAAAACAATTTTTCAAAGCATTAAAGTATGAAAAATATATATCATATTTAAAAACACTATATATAAAAAAAATATATTTTTTTCCTCCCCAAGTAGACTAAATTCCCACCAGCCAGAAAACCCTAGTTGGAAAAATTTTGCAACTTAGACCTTAAGTTGTTGGCTAAGCTACATCTACACAGAAGGACTCCAGATACTACCTGGAAGAATATCAGAAATACCTTCTTGCCCAAAGTCTTGAAGTGTGGGAATATCGCCCTCCTCAAAGCCAGCTGGTAAAGACTTCAGCCTGTCTGGCATCTGAAGACTCGGTCGCACTTGGCATTGAGTTTCAACTGCTTTTCTAAACTGGGTATAGACATCGGGCAACCTGAAATGGTTAAACATGGGACATCTATACAGTGCGCAAAGGAAGAACAATATCTCAAAGAATGATACCTGGTAAATGTATCGTGGGTGGGACAGGATAATACAAATTACGCAAACTGAACAAAAACGAAGATAATCTCTAAATCATTGAGATTAGCTGGAGTGTTATCACTTGGAAATGACTCATTCCAGTAGGTCAGCTTGTAATTAATCTTACCAAAGTGCCAAGGAATGGCACTCACCAATGAAGATAGGGTATCCACAACACTATAGTGCCACACAGACCAGGGTGACTACCACCAACTCAGGAATTTCTAGACCAAAGAATAATATCCGTGCACACAGGCTCTATTCCAAGCTGCACACTTTAGTGACGTTGAACAGGCAATGTTTTGGCTCACACAGGAGACTTTACAGGTTACAGCCAAGGTATATGGACCGTCTTTCAGAAAAAAGAATTACTGCTTATAACGACATAGGGGATGTGACCAGTCTGCTCTGTATATACAGTGTATGAGGCCCTGTATAGGGGATGTGACCAGTCTGCTCTGTATATACAGTGTATGAGGCCCTGTATAGGGGTTGTGACCAGTCTGCTCTGTATATACAGTGTATGAGGCCCTGTATAGGGGATGTGACCAGTCTGCTCTGTATATACAGTGTATGAGGCCCTGTATAGGGGATATGGCCAGTATGCTCTGTATATACAGTGTATGAGGCCCTGTATAGGGGATATGGCCAGTATGCTCTGTATATACAGTGTATGAGGCCCTGTATAGGGGATATGGCCAGTATGCTCTGTATATACATTATATGAGGCCCTGTATCGGAGATATGACCAGTCTGCTCTGTATATACAGTGTATGAGGCCCTGTATCGGAGATATGACCAGTCTGCTCTGTATATACAGTGTATGAGGCCCTGTATCGGGGATATGGCCAGTCTGCTCTGTATATACAGTGTATGAGGCCCTGTATAGGGGATATGGCCAGTCTGCTCTGTATGTACAGTGTATGAGGCCCTGTATCGGAGATATGACCAGTCTGCTCTGTATATACAGTGTATGAGGCCCTGTATCGGAGATATGGCCAGTCTGCTCTGTATATACAGTGTATGAGGCCCTGTATAGGGGATATGGCCAGTCTGCTCTGTATGTACAGTGTATGAGGCTCTGTATAGGGGATACGGCCAGTCTGCTCTGTATATACAGTGTATGAGGCCCTGTAGAGGGGATACGACCAGTCTGCTCTGTATATACAGTGTATGAGGCCCTGTATAGGGGATGTGACCAGTCTGCTCTGTATATACAGTGTATGAGGCCCTGTATAGGGGATGTGACCAGTCTGCTCTGTATATACAGTGTATGAGGCCCTGTATAGGGGATATGACCAGTCTGCTCTGTATATACAGTGTATGAGGCCCTGTATCGGAGATATGGCCAGTCTGCTCTGTATATACAGTGTATGAGGCCCTGTAGAGGGGATATGACCAGTCTGCTCTGTATATACAGTGTATGAGGCCCTGTATAGGGGATGTGACCAGTCTGCTCCGTATATACAGAGTATGAGGCCCTGTATAGGGGATGTGACCAGTCTGCTCTGTATATACAGTGTATGAGGCCCTGTATAGGGGATATGGCCAGTCTGCTCTGTATATACAGTGTATGAGGCCCTGTATAGGGGATACAGCCAGTCTGCTCTGTATATACAGTGTATGAGGCCCTGTATAGGGGATGTGACCAGTCTGCTCTGTATATACAGTGTATGAGGCCCTGTATAGGGGATGTGACCAGTCTGCTCTGTATATACAGTGTATGAGGCCCTGTATAGGGGATATGACCAGTCTGCTCTGTATATACAGTGTATGAGGCCCTGTATCGGAGATATGGCCAGTCTGCTCTGTATATACAGTGTATGAGGCCCTGTAGAGGGGATATGACCAGTCTGCTCTGTATATACAGTGTATGAGGCCCTGTATAGGGGATGTGACCAGTCTGCTCTGTATATACAGAGTATGAGGCCCTGTATAGGGGATGTGACCAGTCTGCTCTGTATATACAGTGTATGAGGCCCTGTATAGGGGATATGGCCAGTCTGCTCTGTATATACAGTGTATGAGGCCCTGTATAGGGGATACAGCCAGTCTGCTCTGTATATACAGTGTATGAGGCCCTGTATAGGGGATACGGCCAGTCTGCTCTGTATATACAGTGTATGAGGCCCTGTATAGGGGATACGGCCAGTCTGCTCTGTATATACAGTGTATGAGGCCCTGTATAGGGGATACAGCCAGTCTGCTCTGTATATACAGTGTATGAGGCCCTGTATAGGGGATACGGCCAGTCTGCTCTGTATGTACAGTGTATGAGGCCCTGTATAGGGGATACGGCCAGTCTGCTCTGTATATACAGTGTATGAGGCCCTGTATAGGGGATACGGCCAGTCTGCTCTGTATATACAGTGTATGAGGCCCTGTAGAGGGGATACGGCCAGTCTGCTCTGTATATACAGTGTATGAGGCCCTGTATAGGGGATACGGCCAGTCTGCTCTGTATATACAGTGTATGAGGCGCTGTATAGGGGATACGGCCAGTCTGCTCTGTATATACAGTGTATGAGGCCCTGTATAGGGGATACGGCCAGTCTGCTCTGTATATACAGTGTATGAGGCTCTGTATAGGGGATACGGCCAGTCTGCTCTGTATATACAGTGTATGAGGCCCTGTATCGGAGATATGGCCAGTCTGCTCTGTATATACAGTGTATGAGGCCCTGTATAGGGGTTGTGACCAGTCTGCTCTGTATATACAGTGTATGAGGCCCTGTATAGGGGATATGGCCAGTCTGCTCTGTATATACAGTGTATGAGGCCCTGTATAGGGGATATGGCCAGTCTGCTCTGTATATACAGTGTATGAGGCCCTGTATAGGGGATACGGCCAGTCTGCTCTGTATATACAGTGTATGAGGCCCTGTATAGGGGATACAGCCAGTCTGCTCTGTATATACAGTGTATGAGGCCCTGTATAGGGGATACGGCCAGTCTGCTCTGTATGTACAGTGTATGAGGCCCTGTATAGGGGATACGGCCAGTCTGCTCTGTATATACAGTGTATGAGGCCCTGTATCGGAGATACGGCCAGTCTGCTCTGTATATACAGTGTATGAGGCTCTGTATAGGGGATACGGCCAGTCTGCTCTGTATATACAGTGTATCAGGCTCTGTATAGGGGATACGGCCAGTCTGCTCTGTATGTACAGTGTATGAGGCCCTGAATATGGGATACGGCCAGTCTGCTCTGTATATACAGTGTATGAGGCCCTGTATAGGGGATACGGCCAGTCTGCTCTGTATATACAGTGTATGAGGCCCTGTATCGGAGATATGGCCAGTCTGCTCTGTATATACAGTGTATGAGGCCCTGTATAGGGGTTGTGACCAGTCTGCTCTGTATATACAGTGTATGAGGCCTTGTATAGGGGATATGGCCAGTCTGCTCTGTATATACAGTGTATGAGGCCCTGTATCGGAGATATGGCCAGTCTGCTCTGTATATACAGTGTATGAGGCCCTGTATATGGGATACGGCCAGTCTGCTCTGTATATACAGTGTATGAGGCCCTGTATAGGGGATACGGCCAGTCTGCTCTGTATATACAGTGTATGAGGCCCTGTGTAGGGGATGTGACCAGTCTGCTCTGTATATACAGTGTATGAGGCCCTGTAGAGGGGATATGACCAGTCTGCTCTGTATATACAGTGTATGAGGCCCTGTATAGGGGATATGACCAGTCTGCTCTGTATATACAGTGTATGAGGCCCTGTATAGGGGATGTGACCAGTCTGCTCTGTATGTACAGTGTATGAGGCCCTGTATAGGGGATACGGCCAGTCTGCTCTGTATATACAGTGTATGAGGCCCTGTATCGGAGATATGACCAGTCTGCTCTGTATATATAGGGGATACGGCCAGTCTGCTCTGTATGTACAGTGTATGAGGCCCTGTATAGGGGATATGACCAGTCTGCTCTGTATATACAGTGTATGAGGCCCTGTATAGGGGATACGGCCAGTCTGCTCTGTATATACAGTGTATGAGGCCCTGTATAGGGGATACGGCCAGTCTGCTCTGTATATACAGTGTATGAGGCCCTGTATAGGGGATACGGCCAGTCTGCTCTGTATATACAGTGTATGAGGCCCTGTAGAGGGGATACGGCCAGTCTGCTCTGTATATACAGTGTATGAGGCCCTGTATAGGGGATATGACCAGTCTGTGTTTGTCTGTATACAAAGTGTATGAGGCCTTATAGAAGAGACACTAGATGGATATACCTGGAGATGTGTCGGAAAGGGAGATCATTTCTGTGATACAATGTTGATCCCCAAACGGTTTGTAACTGAACTCCATGTTGAGAACACACTTTTTTCACAGCATTTTCAACATCTAGCTCTTCCTTTGTGACCTATAAAAAGAAAACTAGTTAAACTTAGTATACAAGTCTTCCATCTTCTCCCTACACTCGGAGTTCATCGAGAGGAAACCAGTTCAAAAAGTGAGCAAGGTTATAATTCAAGAAAGATACCGTCTGGATCAAAGACTAAACCCTGCGGATTATCGCACTATAGAAGAAGATAAATAGCGGAAACCACACACGTGGGAAACATTCTGTTGGAGTTTTGCCAATCTCCCACAATTAATTTTTTTTTTGGGGGGGGTGGTGGGGGAGGGGGGATGTTTGAGGTCTCTTTGCAATCAACCAGCTGGACGATTAATACATTTTACTGTTTAAATTAATCTTGGCGGCAGCCATTGGAACTAAAATAAATAAAAATATTTAACTGTAAAATAAATAAATATATATATACAAAAAATATATAAAAGAATTTTAAAAGGAGGCTTCTTAAAACGTCTACTGAAATTGCACAAGACAAGGCGAAGACAAGAAAAGGTGTAAAATTGTGTCACTTCAAGAGCATATTTTAGGTATGAAGTCTAGGATCGAGTACGTGTATTCACACGGAAAATGAGAAACAAAAAGGTCCTCCCTACTGCCCAATCCAATCCCCACGATGCTCTAATAGCCACACAGCTGGCAAAACATCGTGGGTAGTTGTAGTTCTACAAATAATTGGGGAATGATGGTTAATTTAGAGAGACCTCTGGCTGTGCTTTAAGGACCAGCAATTCTAGATATAATTGAGGACCTGTATGAAGAGCAATCACCATGGAAGCCAACGGAATGTTTTCAGATCTTGAGGAAAAATATCAAAAACATTTAACAGATACGACGAGTGTTTGTGTTACCTCTTCTTGCAATGCAACCGCAGTAACAGAGCCCAGTTTTGTGACTAAATCTTCTAGAACATCTTCTGGCTTCCCTCTTCTCAGCAGCAAGTTACTACAGGATAAAAACAAAAACAACAAAGACATTGTGGATAGGGAGGGACAGATAGATGGACAGATGAAGAATGGAGGTCGTATTTCTCATAAAGTAGACTAGGTATGTTATAGTGTCTGGCTAGCTTGGCCTGGATTGTACAATTCAGCTTTCAATTCACGGTTTAGTGAATAACCTAACTTTGCTCAAAATACTGAAAAATAAAATTGATGTTACTCCATAAACCAGGCATGGTGGACAAGTGATCAGGAATAGGTCTATCTGGAAAATTAGTTCAGTTTGACTATTCTGGCCTAGTCAATTCTCAACAGTCCCTGATTCAGTCAATAAAATTGTAGTGAATAAAAAATCCAACTGGAAAATTTGATAAGAGTGTGCTTGCTGTCAACATTCACACTCCTATCAGTAACAGCACACTACATGTTGGGATCTCAGTGACCCAGAATATACTGTTGCCTGAGAGTGATAGGAGTGTGATTGCTGACAGCATGTCAGTTAGTTTGTGTAGTACTGTAATCATGTTGCTTTTTAAAATCTTTAAATGTACAGAATTTTGGCACCAGTTATTGCCAATCGGCCTGAAAGGCGACTGGTAATCTGTATCGGCTCTGGAAAAATGATATTGGTCGATGCCTGCTTGGGAGGAAAGCTATCATTTGGTGTTTAGTGACTGTCTCCCTTCCCCTGTTTTCAGTTCTTTAAACATTGCAGGTATAGCTTACCTTCCCTTTTCCTTTAGTATGTTCCTCAAATCTTTCACACTTTCGAGCAGGAACTTCAACCTATGGGGCCCTGTTTTTGGAAAATTGTAGTTATGGGTTCCCACATAGTGTCTTGGGTCAAAGCAGTACAGAGGAACAATGTGATCTGCATTCTTGTGAGCCCAGAGCAGAACCTGTATATGAACAAAATAAACAATGATTTAAAGCAGGCCTGTCCAACCTGCGGCCACCCAGATGTTTCTGAACTACAACTCTGAAACAGATAGCCAGGGAATAATGATAGTTGTGCAAATTATTTTATTAATAATGTATCTCCATAGACCTGAATTCTGTACTCTCACACATGTGGAAAATGACAGCGTTGACGTTGGCTCCTGACAGCTGAAGAGCAGTTGATGGAAGATGATGGCAGCGCTCACATGGGGCATGTTCAGATAAGTGAAAGCGTCGATGCCACCGTCAGGAGTCTTTGCAAACTCTACAATGCCCCGAGGGGGTGGTACCGCTTTAAAGGCAGAATATAATGTCTTCTGTGTGTCTGCCTGTGTCTGCCTATTGGGTAGCTTAGTGAAGGTCACATCTAAGTTATAGAAGCTCTAATTAAAAAATGCATAAAATAAATTTGAATCTTACTGGCATTGTGAAAAAAAAATAAAAAATCAGCCTCTGACGTTTATTAAGTGACAAAATTGTGATGAGTTGACACGCGAGTGGAACTGTCACAACCCCCCCCCCCCCAACCATAACTTCTCCAATGAGCTGCAGTGGCTATGGTACAAAAGAGTAATTTAGTTCTGGTAAAGGTAACATTTTTAGGCCCTGAGGCAGAATCTTATAATATGATAATTATTGCTCACTGTCAGAGCACACAGTTATCATGTTACAATATAAACACTGATAACGGACACACAATAGGGTTGTAAATTATTTTTGTTGACATATTTAGGGACCATGCCCCCGTCCCTTCACCAATCTCACTGGCATAACATTATCACAGAACTTCCTCCATGGGACATGGAATGGGCGGTACTGTGGGAGACCATGCCCACTCTTACAAAAACACTGCAGCCACATTGTATAACTAGAACCATGGAGACACATTGTATAACTAGAACCATCAGTAGAACCATGGAGACACACTGTATAACTAGAACCATCAGCAGAACCATGGAGACACATTGTATAACTAGAACCATCAGCAGAACCATGGAGACACACTGTATAACTAGAACCATCAGCAGAACCATGGAGACACACTGTATAACTAGAACCATCAGTAGAACCATGGAGACACACACTGTATAACTAGAACCATCAGCAGAACCATGGAGACACACTGTATAACTAGAACCATCAGCAGAACCATGGAGACACACTGTATAACTAGAACCATCAGCAGAACCATGGAGACACATTGTATAACTAGAACCATCAGCAGAACCATGGAGACACATTGTATAACTAGAACCATCAGCAGAACCATGGAGACACATTGTATAACTAGAACCATCAGCAGAACCATGGAGACACATTGTATAACTAGAACCATCAGCAGAACCATGGAGACACATTGTATAACTAGAACCATGGAGACACATTGTATAACTAGAACCATCAGCAGAACCATGGAGACACATTGTATAACTAGAACCATCAGCAGAACCATGGAGACACATTGTATAACTAGAACCATCAGCAGAACCATGGAGACACACTGTATAACTAGAACCATGGAGACACATTGTATAACTAGAACCATGGAGACACATTGTATAACTAGAACCATCAGCAGAACACACTGTATAAGCACCCCCTCCCCTCCCCCCCATAGGGATACACTGTATAACCTGCCCCTCCCCCAGCACTATAGAGATACCTTGTATAACCAGCCTCCTCCAGCACTATAGAGATAATTTCATGTTTATACTTTTTATAAACACCTAGTATAATACATAGTACCAGCACTGGAAATAGTAAAAGCAGCTATGGGTTTCATTACATACACAGTATATCTACCATCACAGCCCCTATCCCCTGGCAGTGCCTCACCTAGCAGTGCCAGCCCCTCTCTCCCCCCTAGCAGTGCCAGCCCCTCTCTCCTATAAAAGTGCCAGTCCCTCTCTCTCCCTGGTAGTGCCAGCCCCTCTCTCCCCTGGCAGTACCAGCCCCTCTCTCTCTCCCTGGTAGTGCCAGCCCCTCTCTCTCCCCTGGCAGTACCAGTCCCTCTCTCCCCTGGTAGTGCCATCCTCACTCCCCTGGCAGTACCAGTCCCTCTCTCTCCCCTGGCAGTGCCAGCCCCTCTCTCTCTCCCCTGGCAGTACCAGCCCCTCTCTCTCCCCTGGCAGTGCGAGCCTGGCAGGTTATTACCTCGTTATCCTGGAGCCGGAGATCGTTTCTCAGGAGGCAGATAATGACCCTGGATGGGGAGCACATGCTGCCAGCTCACAGGCCTCACTGATCTCACAGAGCTGGGAGCAGTCGCTCACTGCCTCCCTCCTCCCTCTACTAAAATTAGCTGCACCCTCCCCTCCTGTACAGCTCCAGCTAACCCCAGGCACAGCACTCCACGTTTGGCTGGCTGAGAGTAATGGGAGCTGCTGGATGAGATTGTTGAAGTATTTTTTTTGTTTAATTAATAAAGGCAGCTCTTTTGGGATCCCTCCTTGATTAATGACCTGATTTCTGCAATATATATTAATTGGACTCAGTGAAGGGCAGAACTCTTCATGTGATGCCCAACACCATAACGTGCCCAGGAAACCAAGGCTGACAGGGCAGTTTTATCTGTTATCCCACAGAGTGCAACAGGGAAACTCAGAATGGCACTCACTCTCACACAACATGATTTAACGTTATACTGACTTATCCCATTATTCCTGAGTTAGTAAGGTCTGAAAATTAAAACTAAACATTCCACCTCTCTGTGTCCTGGAACAGGGCCTCAGTCAGTCATTGCTAGGAGAGCATAGAGTGAGGAATGTGTGCCTGGCATCACAAATGTTTGGGCCCCTAACACAGTTCAAGTTCTGGCCCCACTAGGGCTCATTCTGAGTTCGCCCACAAGGAGAAAGTGTGTTGTGTATAGTGGATACAGATTGCACATTTGTGTAATGGATATAGTGTTTTGTGTGTGTTAGATACAGTGTGTTTGTGTAGTGAATGCAGTGTTTCTGTGTATTAGATGCCGAGTGTGTGTTTGTCTAGTGGTCGTAGTGTGTGTATGATGAATGCAGTGTGTGTGTGTAGTGGATGTAGTGTGTGGTGGATGCAGTGTGTGTTTGTATGGTGGATGCACTGTGTATTTGTGTAATGGATGTAGTGTGTGTATAGTGGATACAGTGTGTGTTTGTGTAATGGATGTAGGTTGTTTATGGTGGATGCAGTGTGTGTTTGTGTAGTGGATGCAGTGCGTGTTTGTATGGTGGATGCACTGTGTATTTGTGTAATGGATGTAGTGTGTGTATGGTGGATGCAGTGTGTGTTTGTGTAGTGGATGTAGTGTGTGTATGGTGGATGCAGTGTGTGTTTGTGTTGTGGTTTTAGTGTGTGTACGGTGGAAGCAGTGTGTATGTTTGGTGGATGCATTGTGTGTTTGTGTAGTGGATGTAGTGTGTGTATGGAGGATACAGCGTGTGTTTGTGTAGTGGATGTAGTGTGTGTATGGTGGATGCAGTGTGTGTTTGTGTTGTGATTTTAGTGTGTGTAAATGTTTAAATTAGGGGCTGCATTTGGGGGGCGAGGAGAGCATTTTTGGTGGAATTTAAATGTATTTAACACACTATTTTATTCCCCCCTCCTTACCTGGCCAGGGAGGGGGAAGATTGCATCCCTGGTGGTTCAGTGGTATGGTGGAGGGAGCCAGTTACTGTATAATATAGAAGGGACCCTGCCAACACCAGCTTAACTTTCCAGCAGCTCCTGTGTCTGTAAGTCTCGCAAGCTTTGCCTGCGTACCGTGCGGAGTCTTGTCATGGTAACCTGTGGCAACGCTCTGCCAGACTGCAGAGCTCGTGAGAATTACAGACACAGGAACTACTGGAAAGTTAAGATGGTGCTGGCAGGGTCCCTTCTACATTATACAGGTAGCCGGTGGCAGGGGCCCTAAAGTGCATATATATATAGCGATAATCACTATATATATGTGTACAAATGGAATGTGGGGTAGAGCAGTCCGGGCCCCCCAGGACCGCCAGGCCCATGACAACTGTTATGGTTGTCATGCTCTGATGGCGCAGTGGCGGATCCAGGGGGGGGGGCAACGGGGCTGAGAAAACCGACAGTCTCCCTCCCCTGCTAGCCCTGCAATGTGCCTGTGGACCGGAGGGG